ATCCCAGTTCCCAATTTCTGTATTTTAATTGTCGAATATCAAGAAAATCCACCTATTACACCCCATGTGTAGATAAGGGGCTGAGGAAACAGACATTGTCATGTACTGTAAGTGGGAGTTCAGTACAAACAGGCTGTAACTCAAATTGTGTGTACACTTTTACCCAACATATAGCCTACAAATACACTCTCATAAGTATGCAAAAAATGCAAATGTTCACTGTAACATTGTGTCAGAAAACAAAAACAAACAGAAACAACCTAAAAGTTCAATAATGAAGGCTTTCCTGCTTAAATAAATTATGCTACATCCACACCATGGAGTACCAAGCAAATATTATGTAATGATAAGGAAAAATAGTCTTACTTAGGTAAAAACTGCAATTTTCAGCAGCAGCAACTAAAACATACTAAGTGCTTATTAAGTATCAGGCACTTGTGTTAAGTGTTTTAAAAAATGAATTCATTTAATCTCATAAAAATCTCATGACATAGGGGGAAAAGGAGATACACAGATACTAAGTAATTTTCCAAGGCAACACAGCTAGTAAATGGTAAAGGAACCAGGATTTAAACCAAGATTGCATCACTGCAGAATTTACACTCTTTAACTGTAATATAGTTTAAAACGGTATTCATACTATGAACCAATTAATGTTTTTAAATATATAGTAATACTTAGCTTATACTTATATGTGTGTAATATAAAACTCTGTAGCTAGGCGTAAAAAATACACTCTCCAGCCTTGAGAAAGTAAGAAAAAGGGACTTTTACATTTCACATAATAACCTTCAGGGCTATTTAAAATTTATTTCTAAATAATTCTAAAATAACTTTCAGGGCTATTTAAAATTTCTTTCTAAAGTAACCAAATATTACTTTTATAAAATTTGTAAACAATATTTTTCAAAAATCCTGAATACACAATTGGCATTTATTCATCTTGTAATCTCAGGAAACTCTTCAATTAAATAGGTCCAGTAACTTCAAAAGAGGTAAAGTTAGTTTTTTCACAAGTTGAATTCCTATCAACACCCAACAACTCCTCAAATTCCTTACCATAAATATGTTAGAAAAACATTGAAAACTTCCAATAAACACTAAAACTAAAACTAATGAGGTATTTTCAATTTCTTACTACTCTTAAAATTATTTTTACTCAATTATTCTGGATAGGCACATTCAACTGACATGCTCAAGGCTATACTATTCTTGTACAATTGTTTGTGAACAGTCACACATATTACAATTCAAAGACAGGCCAGGTGTAACTGAAGTTCAAATGTGCACTACATGTACTATTCATTCATTCACACATTTGGCAAATATTTACCGAATGCCCACTATGGGTCAAGGACTGTGCTAGGCACTGGGAATACAACAGAATAAGAAAGACAAGGTATCTGACCTCCTGAAACATATTCTACTGGGAAAACTTAGGAAAAATTTTATTCTGATGTGTCGCGTGTTACTTTGGCATCACAAGTTAACATATTAGTGATGACGAATGTCCTTACATTTGGGATTAAACAGAATGGCATGTGCATGGTTGTTTTCTGGTGTTTATATTTTTGTTTGGCTTTGGGCTTTTTGCCACGAAAAAAACTTGATTTTTATTGTCTCCTTGAATGACACAGCTCAACCTCTAGTTAGAGCATATACTGCCTTATGTTTTTAAATAGCATTTTATATTCATTCACTAACAAAAAAAATTATTTTTTTAGAGCACTTTAGGTTTACAGGAAAATTGAGAGTACAGTATAGATACATCCCCATACCCCTCCTGTGCTGACACACGCATAGCTTCCCCCACTATCAACATCCCCCACCAGAGCAGTACATCTGTTACAAGAGATGAATCTACATGGTTTGATAAATCAAAGTTTATTATTGTTTAAGAAAACAATGGGACTTCAAAGAACTGTGCAACTGTGGAAACACCTCTGTGAAACTATTCTCAGGAAGGCAGAAGGCTGGAGAAGAAATGGCTGGGGCCACATAAAAGCTAAAATGCACTGAATAAAGCTTACTCTGTACCAGTCAACGTACTGAAAGCACGTTAAATGTATTATTTCACATAAACTTCCCAGTAACTCCAGTTGGAGCATTATCTCCACTTTGAGATAAGACAGCAAACGTAGATAGGCTAAGTAAGTTGCCCAAAGTCACTCAGTTGAAAGATGGCAGAACCTGGCAGCCTGAACTGAGCCTAAGCAGGGTCTTGAATGGCGGTAGGCCTCTAAAGCCATAGTAGAGAGATGTACCATTGTATATTTAATCTTGCAGGCAGTGTGAATGGAGATTTAGAAGATTCTCAAGGAGAGCAATAGAGCCCAACTTTAGGAAGATAACTTTGGTCCACAGTGTGTGTAATGACCTGAACAAGAGGGCAACTGAAGTCAGTGGTATCAATTAAGAAGCAGTAGGCCAGGCACGGCAGCTCACGCCTGTAATCCCAGCACTCTGGGAGGCCAAGGCAGGTGGATCACAAGGTCAGGAGATCGAGACCATCCTGGCGAACAAGGTGAAACCCCGTCTCTACTAAAAACACGAAAAAAAACAAAATTAGCCGGGTGTAGTGGCAGGCGCCTGTAGTCCCAGCTACTCGGGAGGCTGAGGCAGGTAAATGGCATGAACCTGGGAGGCAGAGCTTGCAGTGAGCCAAGCTCGCACCACTGCACTCCAGCCTGGGAGACAGAGCGAGACTCCGTCTCAGAAAACAACAACAACAACAAAGAAGCAGTAAAGGGGTCCATGTAACTTGAAATGCTTCAAAGCTAGGAACTTGCTGAATGGAGACTACAACACAGCCTCCTGATATCCTCCTCCCCGGGGAATTTTATTTCCATTAAATCAAGATGTCAAAGACTTGTGAATAAGAAACTGGTGAACTGTACATCAAAACCAAACACCTTTACCCATTATCTAGCAGAATTATGTTTTCTAAACTGTGTTAAACGGAGAACAACCACGCAGGGATCTTGCTGAGCCTGAGCTGGACTGAGAAAAATCTAACGGATGTGCTGGGACTGCCAGGAAACACCCCAGCCTCCTCCTGGAAAAACTGAACTGCCTTGGAAAGGAAAGGAAAGGAAAAGGAATAGGAATTCTGGGGACTCTAAAACACCTTGGTTGTTTCCTTCATTAAACAAACATTACATTTTGAGTATCAAACACTTAACTGACTACACATGTGATGCTACAATTTTCACTCTTACCACAATTAACTCAGCAATTAAGAATTATTTTATGGGGGTTTCCGAAGGGGCTTAGAATGTGGTGTGAATGGGAGTGAAGTGTGAGTGAGAAATGTTAGGTAAGAAATAGAAAAATTCCTTTCCTATACAAATATTTGGAAGGGAGCACTGAACTTTGTTTTCAACCTTACTGCACTTAACTCTTATGGCCTTAAGGATAGATCTAAAATCCATCCCTTAGGTGGCTTCAGGTCAGTCATCGCTATTCTGCTAGTATTTTATGACTTTTCCATATATGGTAGAAAGAATAATGCCCCCTCCTCCTACAAAGACATCCACATCCTAATCTCTAGAATTTGTGAATATGTTACCTTCCGTGGCAAAGGAGAATTAACTTTGCAGGTGAATTAAGATTGCTAATCAGCTGATCTTAAAATAGATTACTTTGGATTATCTGGGGAGGCCAACCTAATCACAGTGATCTCAAAAGTAGAAGATGGCGGGCGGAGAAGACAGGGGGCGCCCGGCCAGGTGGCTCATATCTGTAATCCCAGCACTTTGGGAGGCCAAGGAAGGAGGATCACTTGAGCCCAGGAATTCAAGACCAGCCTGGGCAACATGGCAAAACCCCATCTCTACAAAAAAAAAAAAAAAATGCAAAAATTAGCCGGGAGTGGTGGTGCACACCTGTAGTCCCAGCTATGAAGCAGGAGGATCACTTGAGCCCAGGGGGTTTAGTCTTCGGTGAGCTGAGATCATGACACCACACTCCAGCATAGGTGACAGAGCGAGACCCTGTCTCAAAAACCAACAAAACAACCCAAAAAACAAAAAAGTAGAAGACAGAGGTAGAAGAGACGTTAACAGGCAAGGAAGAGATTCGCCCAGAAGCTACAGAAAAGAACACAACATCACCAACACCTTGATTTTAGATCAGTGCGACCCCATCTGACTTCTCACAGCTCTAAGAACACCACATTTCTGGTGTTTTATGCCACTCAATTTGTAGTAATTCGTTACAACAGAAAAAAATAAACTAATATACCAGGCTTCTTCTAGTCCTTGGATTTCAGAAAAATTTTGACATCAGTAATTGCTACTAAAATGACCCTATAACCCAGGACACTGCCAGTCTTGTGAACTGTTTGGTACTACTTCCCAGGAAGAAAAATACAGAAATTGGGTTTATTTGTACATAATCCAATTTCATGTCTGCTGAGTTTAATTATTAAAAACTTGGGCTTGTAATTTTATTTCTTCCATTTCATTTATCTATAACTTTATGGTATTTTACAAAAGTACTGGCTGAGACAAATGGAGATTTTACTTTTTTAAAAAAGAAGACATTTACAAAAGAGAGGTGAAGCGCTGACAAGTTCAATCACTTGCCCAAGTTCAGAAAGTGATTCATCACCCAGTCATTAAATTAACAGATGTTTATCTAGACAGCAAGCTCCATGCTAGAGCTGTTTAGAACAAGATCCAGCAGAGCACAGCCTCTCCGTGTGAGTCCCATTCTCCTCAGCGTCCCAGAAATCGCCCTAGATCGCCTACCTAGCAGGGCTCTCCGCTGGTTACCCTCCCACCAGCATTCAACCCCAGCAAAACACGCGCAGTGTGGACAGAACCCGGTCTAGTAAGCAAATGCCACACAAAAGGACAACGAAAGGAAGTAAAACACCAAGCACGGATTCTAGGGGCCGAGGGCTGAACCACAATCCACCGCAACTCCGGAAAACCGGGCCTCGGCCCTCGGCTCCCCTTCCTACGCCAGGCTCCGCCCCTACTCCAGGCCTCGCCCACCGCGTCATTGGCGTAGTTCCTGCGACTCTCTCTCACCCGCCTGGGCTCCACCTTCTGCAGAAGCTCCGACTGCCGCTCCAACGCGCTCGCGAAACCGCCTAGGCGCGTCTTAGGCTCCGTGGCAGTGGAACTCCCACTGTCGGATCCACCCTCAGTGCCTACGCCCCGAAAGGGCCTGGAGAAGAGAAACACTCGCAGAAAATGGCTCTCGGCTGCCACAGCACGGGTCCGACACAGCGCCGCCATGACTTCTTTACCTCTGACCTTTGACCTCCCCGCCGCAATCGCGCGGGTCATGGGGCGGAGCGATAAGAGGTCCGCCCACCGGCCATAGAGCGCTGAAGGCCAACGGGGTGGGGCCTGCCTTTCTTTTGGGAGTGGCGTGCAGCAGGAAAGGCTTCAGCTAAAATTGGTGGGCTAAATAGTTGGAAAGGGGCCCGGTAAGTTTTGCGTTAGAAGTACGTTTAAGTTTCAGGAATTTCGCCTTCCTGGGCATCCGTTGGTCCACATTGTACTGTAAATTCGGCTAACGTGACCTTCGTTCTCCCGCCCGGCGGTCCCCCCTACATGGCCGCCAGCACTCGAGTTTGGAGTCTTCACTCAAATATGAGGGTCTCCTTGATTACCCTATTTAGAAGTGGAAGCCCAAATGCAGACTCTCTGGCACCTGTGTTTTTCTTAGTACCATGTAGCACTTTCTAATATACACATATTAATATTAAATATTTAATATTTAGTGCCTACTCCCAACTTTTTAAACTTTGAAAGGAGGAACTTTGCTGTAGGGTCCCTAGCACCGGGCACAGATTAGGGCTCACTCAACATTTGCGAAACCCTGCATCCAAGTTTGTCCTTTGCCACTTCTGCGGCCGGTCCACTCACGCTACGAAAACAGTAGTTTTTCTGAAACGTTTTGACACCTCCAGATACCTGTTATCTAACTTAGGAGTTCAGAAGTTTTGGAATATCCCTAAGTATTGCACCACCATAGGCCCCCCATCCTCACTCTGGATTTTTTCCCTTTTCTCCCGCAGTGTTAATTCCCAAAATTTACGTACCCTGTTCAAAACTGAGCCTATCATCATTCTTGAGGAAGTGTTCATTAATTAGCTGTCCGTCTATCTTTGACCCAGCAGTTTAATCCACAGTTAGTTTTATTTTGGTGGCACACACCTTTCCAGTTCATTTGCAAGTACTTATTTTTATAATCACAGACCCTATTTTAAGAATGCCTTGACTATGGATTTTAAGCTTTTCTGATGCTAATGGTATAGATAGTGTAAGAACACGAAGTACACTGATCTCAGAATGGTGCACAATTGTATGAATCACGTAAAATTATTACTAGCTATCTATATGGTAGTCCTTACAAATTCATTAAGGGGCCTACAATAATTTCTCCAGGTGAGTTCTCCCTCTTGGCACTTAAAACTGTTTATCTCCCAAGACTATTAATGGACTCTTACCTAAAACAGTTTAGAATTATTTTCTACGGATGATGCTACTTCCACTTTTTTTCAGAGAGAGTGTGGTAAATTGTAAAGAGCATGGCCAGTAGCCTTCAAGAACCCTCAGTCTGACTGGGCAGGGTGGCTCACCCTTGTAATCCCAGCACTTTGTGAAGTGAGGAGGGAGGATTGCTTGAGGTTAGGAGTCCGAGACCAGCCTAGGCCATAGCAAGAACCGGTCTCTACCAAAAAATAGAAAAATTAGCCTGGGGCAGTGGTGCATGCCTGTAGTCCCAGCTACTAGGGAGGCTGATGGAGGAGGATCACTTGAGCCCAGGAGTTTGAGGCTGCAGTGAGCTATGTTCCTGCCACCACACTCCAGCATGGGCGAAAAGTGCAAAACTCAAGTCTCTAACACACGCTGGGCATGGTGGCTCACACCTGTAATCCCTGCATTTTGGGAGGCAAAGGAGGGCAGATGACTGGACGTCAGGAGTTCGAGATCAGCCTGGTCAGCATGGTGAAACCCCGTCTCTACTGAAAATACAAAAATTAGCTGGGCGTGGTGACACATGGCTGTAATCCCATCTACTCGGGAGGCTGAGGCAGGAGAATCACTTGAACCCAGGAGGTGGAGGTTGCAGTGAGCCAAGATCACACCACTGCTCTCCAGCCTGGGTGACAGAAAAAAAACAAAAACAAAAAACTTAAGTTTGCATCAAATGACTTCAAATTTGGCTTTAGTTCTGTCTTTGGTAGAGGATCAGAAGCATCAAATGAGAGGGACTGTAAAGAACTGAGCAAGTCAACAGGGGGATGTCTGCACTTTCTCCTTGCCTATACAAGTGCCAAGAGTAGCATCCTCTGTAATAGTGATGTTTTGACATATGGCATCTTAAGGATTCTGATCCTGCTCTAACCACTCCTTGCTTTATTAAATATACAGGCCTAGCTAGGCAGCACTGCACACCTTTAGTCTCAGCTGCTCAGGAAGCTGAGGCAGGAACATCACTTGAGCCCAGAAGTATAGGGCCAGCCTGGGCAACACAGTGAGACTCCATCTCAAAACAGCCAAGGAAAGTGAACAGAAAATAGTTGCAGTCTACTGCTAAGTTCAAGCCTAATACTTTACAGCTACTGGCTATGGTCTTATCTATAAAATGGTGACATTGCCACATGCCTGAGTAAAGAGTTAAAGGTGATGAGTGTAAAATGCCTGGGCACTTAATAAATAGTAGCTATTGATGGCTAGATGGAGGTGACCATGAGTTTATTAGAAATTCATGCCTCAACCATGTGTGCAAACCTAGAAGGATAGTGTCACAGGGTTCTTAGGATGTCGCTTCGCCAGCTGGAAACTTCCATGGCCTGCAGCACCTCTGCTGGAGTTTTGCTCGTGTCTGCTGGGCTTATTCTGCCCACTCTGCCTGGCAGGCTGCGTTCATCTTGTGCTGCTGGCCCGGATCCCATACCTGCCAAGGGCAAGCCAGGCATGGGCTGGTGAGGGGTGTGTGAACAAGTCAGTGCAGGTTCCAGCCACTGCACCTAGCCAGGCACACTGGCTGCTACAGCAGGGTGAGCAGCTACAGGCACCGGCTCTGTGCAAGGCTGCAGCTGGACCAGATGGACCACAACCAGCTTCTGCTGCAGGCACCAGTGTCTGGGCAAGGGAAACGTGGTAAAACCCAAAAGCTCGGAGTTGCCAGGAACCTCAGAGTCCCAAAGAGGGTGTTAGAGCATGTCACAGCCCTGGCTTGAGGAGCCGCGAGGTGTGGGCTCCCGCTTTTCTTGTTGCCTGCAGTGTGGTGACTGATGGTGGGGGAAGCGGGGGTTATTTCAGTTTGTTTATGTTACAGCTCTTTCAGTCCCACCACCCCACTCCAGCCCATGGCTCCTCAGTTGGCCTGGCTCTGCTGCTGCCTCCTGTCATGTGGGGCAGCTGTCTGGTGCCGGTGAAAGGCAAGAAGGCTATAATGTTATAGCATTCTCTAGCTCGGGGAATCCCAAGGTCTGGGTCCCCAGAAGGGTCACCACTCTTCTCTTCTGCAGTCTGGGAGCGTGTCACCACCTACAGCTTGGCAAGCCAGCCAGGAACATGTTACAGCTCCTTTCGCTCCCACTGTTCAGCAGGTCCTGAGTTCTTGTCCTGTGTCCAGGAAGAATAAGGTTACATGGACAACTGTAGGGTGAGCAAGGCAGAGAGGAGCTTTATTGAGTAACAGAACAGCACTTAGGAGACCCCAAGTGGTCCCTTCTGCAGGCAGGTTGTCCTGATGAGTATCGAGTTTGGCTGAGTCTGGGGTTTTTATGTGCTCAGAATGGAGGAAGAGTGGGCCTGGAAAAAGCACCATCCAGTTGGCCAAAATGCATTAATAGAGTTCTCGGTCTGGGTTGTGGGCTCTACCTAAAACTGGCAGCCTGGCCCCCAGGCTTCAGGCTGTCCTTGGCTTGAAGGTGGGGTTTCAACAGGGACCCACCCCTTCCCACCTAGGAACCTGCCTCCTGCCATCATCAATATGCCATCCACAGCACCCAGGCTGTCCACACCAAGCCACCCTCAGCCCCCTGGCCACCCTCCCATGCTCATTGGCACCCAAAGTCAGGAGGGGGCCGAGGTAGCAGGGACCTGGCATGTCAGTGCCACCCTGAGGATGCACACACCTAGCCAGGTTGTGACAGCACCCAAGCTCAGCCACAACTTTGCTCCAAACCAGAGCAGGCACTTCCAGGCCTGCAGGGGCAGGGGACTTCCCAGGCTCCCAAAAGCACAGGGATGCCTGGATCTGGAGCTGTGGCTGGGCAGCTGCAGCTGCACCCAGGAGCACAAGCTCCTGCCCTGCCAACATGGTAAGGCAGGGCTCCTGCTGGGATCACCTACTGCCGGCCCCTGCCAGCTCTGCGGAGCATGCAGCCCCCAGCCATGCTTCCCTTGCTGCAGCTGGTATCCTCACAGCAGCTCCTCAAGGAGGGCCACCACCATCAACATGTCTGAAGATACAGGTTGGGAAGCTATTAGTATCACTCTAAAAATAGTCATTTCACCCATAGAAATGGATAAGATCATTAAGGGGATCGTGTACAAGATGACAACAGATAGACAATAGCATTTAGGAGCTGGAAGAATTCTAATACTGAAAAATAGTCAAAATGGAAAATAAGAACAGAGAATTCTAGAACCCAAGGAGAAAACTTTAAAGCATGCTGGAGAGTGGTAAAGTGAAAGATCACATCCATTTACAAATACTCAAACAAAACTGTATTTGGTCTTTTCTATATGATAGAAAAACCACCAAATTAATAAAATAATCAAACTACCAACCAACCTCAGTAAATAACATCAAAATTACATGAGAGCTGGCAAGAATTTCAGTTGCCAGATAGCATTTATTTAAGTACAAAATCCCACCAGGTGATAGCACATGCAGACCCTACCCTCTGAGAACTTACAAACGAAAAGTGAAAAGCCCCTTGGTTTATTTTGAGTCAGAACAATAAGGAAATTATGAAATCTGAGGTGTGCGGGTTTACTTAAAAGTGATAATGGTTTATATTAACTGTGGCCCACACAGGGTCTCTCTAATCCAATGAAAACAGGGCAGTTCCTGAAAATAAGGACCCACCAATGGCCAAGTGTTTCTTCACTATGGGCAAAAATGTGATTTTTTTTCATCTGGGCTTTAAGAGCTATCAAGAAAACACATGGCTGGGTTCATGCCTATAGTCCTAGCTATTTGGGAAGCTAAGGCAGGAGGATTCCTTGACCCCAGGAGTTGGAGGTCAGCCAACTCTAAACAAACAAAAACATCATTCTGACAAATGACCTTATGTAGGATCTCACTCTTGCTATTTTCTTAGTGTCAAACACAAGAGGAACCAGGAACTCTTTCTGGCATTTCTACTAATTACTATGTTTACTAAAGATATCTCTTTGGGCACATATGCAGCAAGCAGTCATTTAATAAATGCCTTCTGATAACCAGAATGTAGCTGCTCATGGCTCTTTAAGTATCATATCCAGAACATGAAGGGTTTGGAGAGAAGTTGCATAATGGACTTGCCCCTTTCCTCAATGGGCAGGTAATGTATACAAAAGAACCCATACCCAAATTATAGAATTTTTATTTTCCAATACTATACAAAAAATAGACTGTATATCTTAACAGATCCAGAAACAGTCCAAATTAAATGTGTTTTTTTTCTATTTCAAGTTATTCTAAGTTGCTAAGGTGATAATCCAGTTTTGAGCTCTACTCTCTTCCACTGATTACTTGGCTCTCATAAGCATAAGAATTCTTGCTCTATTTCCCACAAACTCCATAAATTGACATTTCTTTTTTTAAGAGGGGGATATTTTCTTCTACACTTGAGTCCTTACATCTGTGAGATTTCATAAGTATCTGAGATTTCACACTCTTGCTATTTTTTTAGTGTCAAACACAAGAGGAACCAGGAACTCTTTCTGGCATTTCTACTAATTGCTGTTTCTCATTCCTTAAATATCTGTGAATTCATAATATTGAATCTGCCACAAAAACGATTTTGAATATTTCTAAATTCATGTTTTTTTCTAAATCCATCCTCTTAATACTTCTTTTAAGGGGCAGAGTACTTTACAGTAGATTAATTTTTTGTTTTTTAGATTAAGTATAGGTAGATGCCCAGAAAAGTGATTCTCCAACATTTTCTTTCACAGCCATCCCCAATACCCACCTTCATCCACTCACCCCACTTCCCACCCCGATTTCTATCACTTTTCCCTTTTTGGGCAGCAAAGAGACTTGAGGGTATTTCACTCAACTAAAGAAATTGCCACTTTACTCCATTTTGCCTTGTTGAAAAGTTAGTAGCAGGGCTGGATGCTCAAGAAACAATGTGATCAAAAGAATATGTTTGAATTTTAAAAAGCAGACTAGCTGGTAGAAAAAATAATTTAACAGTTATGTTGAGCAAGCACAATATTTCTATAGAAAGACAAACTTCTGCAGATCCACTCCTCTGAGACAATGCTTCAACAGCCTGTTTCTTAAAGCCCTTATTTAGTATATGTTAATATGATACCATTAAGCAATAATTTAAGGATGGTTAAAAAAAAAAAACAAAACTTTTTTTTTTTTTTTTTTTTTTTAGTATAGACTCCAGTTGATTCTGTAATACAACAAGCTGTTTCCAGACCACTGGTCTCATAATAAATATTGAGACCTATACTACTGATAGACAGAATTTATTAAGCTTTTCACATGTGATAGCACATAGTTTTAATTGCATCCAAAGTACTAACAAAAGCTCTAGCAATCAAGAATGGCAGCAGGTTATTTTATAACAACACTTGTGGCTTTCAAAATTTGGTTTTCATAAGATAATTTATACTGAAGTAAATCTAGCCATGCTTTTAAAAAATGCTTTAGATCACTCCAAGCTTGGCAATTAACATTTGGCATAAACAATAAAACAATCACAACTTAATAAATAACAAATACAACATTGTAGGCCATAAACATATACAGTATAAGGAAAAGGTGGTAGTGTTCAGTAAGTAGTTATTAGAATACCTTGGCCTTTATGCAAATATGTCTAGAGACTTTGGTTCACCCAGCCCTGACACTCAGTTTTCAAATTAGGGGACAGGTTCTACAGTATCATTTTACAATTTCCAACACATTGAAAACAAGTAGAAAATGATGAGTTGATTTTTATTAATGCATTACATCCTCAAGAGTTATCACCAACCCCTCAGTATAAAAAATTTTCAAGTTATATTAGTCATATAACTTGGTGTGCTTATTTTAAATAGTGCTAAACGGATTAAATGAAGACAACAATGGTTCCCCTAATGTGATTGATATTATCATTTTCACAAGCTTCTAGATCTAAACTTTCAGGCTTTTGAACTGAACATTGATGACAGTGTTCATAGTTCAGCCTACTGATCATACAGTATGCTTGATTCAGAATGTTATTTTGTAGAAATTAAAATTTTAACCTGGTGAAAAATAAGTTGATATAAGTGGTATAATAAACAATACACTGAAATGTTTACTGTCATAAACGGTGATAAATAAGGATGTAGGAGGTTCCACTCAAGTCACCTGGAAGTTTGATTACATATTGTTACTTACAAAACTATAATAAATTGGATGCACAGCTGTTTACTTCAGTCTGGTGTCTTCAACCAAAATATGTACCTTATACCAAAACAGTGCTTATTCCAAAATATTTTTTGTAGCTGGTAGTTCTTCCCTTGGAGGTAAAGAAAATATACCCAAACTTTTAATTACCAGGATTCAGATTATTTAAGAGAACAATTTTAGTTAAGAATCAAATATACAGAGATTCAAAGAGGGGGAAAAAAAGGAAATAAAGACAAAGGTCAAACTGGCATTCCAGATCTGGAGCAATTTTGTAAAGTAGGAAAACAACTATGACAATCTGTAGCTTCTTAGATCATTCTAGTGAATGTCCCCAGGTACTATAGGTGTTTTTATAATGGTGTTTCCTAAATAAAGGAACATAAATGTACACTAAAGGGTGTTTCCCAGGAATAGAGTTGAAGATATTTTCATTTGTTTAACCCACAAACTATTTGGTCAAAGGAATATGTAAAGCTAAATAAAAGCACATCTGGTAGAAATTCATGGCAATGCATGTTGACAAGATGTGCTTGGACCTCGCTTGCAGCATCTGGCAGTGGGTAGCAGAACAAAGGTAGGAATCTCACAGGCTCTCCTGTGTCTGTTCTGGAAGAGGCTCCGTGGTGGTGGCACTAGCATTTGCAGCCGAATTCAAGACTTCTCCAAAATCACCACCAGCAGGCTTGGTTCCCCCTACTTTAGACTTTAAAAAAAGTTCAAAAAAGGGAAAGACATTATGAAACATAAAACTAGCTGATTCTGCATAAAGTAACTCTTAATTGACTTTCAAGAACAAATACATCAGAAACCTTATAGCTCAGTGATTATTATATATGTATGGAATTTAGTATTGTTGTAATGTTCAGTGTGGTTTTATAGTAAAACTCATGCATTCTCCCTTGATGAAATATTCAGATTGGTAAACTCTACCCCTCCTCTTTTCCCCCTGCTCCTTGTTCTTCACAGGGAAGTGTATCTAGAGAACTTTGTAAGGCCTACTATTCTAAAGTACCTAGTGACCTGTCTTTACACTTGCGTAACATTTTGTATTGCACCGAATTGCTCACTTAGCTACACTCAGTCAAGAAATATTGAATACAACATGGGAAAGAAATATTTATTTTCTTTTTCTCAGTTACAGTATAAGCTTTCTAACTCTTTACTACTTAAAGTGTGGTTCAAGGACCACAGAGTCAACATTACCTCGGAGCTTATTAGAAATGCAGGGTCTCAGATACCCTTTCTACCCCACCCAACTCTAGCTACAGAATTGAAATCAACACTTGAACAAGATCCCTGAGTCGTTCATGTGCACACTATAGTTTGTGAAGCACTACTACAATCTATCTGGCCTGAAATTTTGCCAATAAGCATTTATTTCAATATATCTGCCTTGCATTTGTATAATACTTTTTCAAAACCCTTACACGTCACTTCATCCTTTTCAATGCTAATCTGTATATGCTCTCTCACTGTTACACTGTCCAATAGGACAGCTAACATTAAGACAACAGTCCGTAACCATGGATGCAAGCAGCTCATAGTGGGTTTGAACTTGACCTTGCTGTTAGCTCAATCTTAATTGAGTGGTCAGAGACCCCTTATTTTCACTCTCATTCTTTTTGGTCTGCCATCCAAAATTGTTTGGGAAATGTGAATAATGTGTGTTCATCAAATCTCCTTGCAGTTTAACATGTCTAAAACTGAACTCCTTCCCCTCACAACTAGCCCCTTCTCTATTCTTTTTTAAGACTTTATATTGCAGTAGCACCTACCTAGCTGCCCCAGCCTGACACCTGGAGTTGTCCTTTATTCTTATCCAACTTGGTCTACATCCAATCAATCTTTTTTTTTTCCTGTCATTTCTCACTTCTAAATAGCTCTAGACTTGGTCCCACTGCAGTAACTTAGTTCACTCTCCGCTCTCCATCATCTTTGGCTTGAAGTACAACTCCATCCTTCCAACTAATCTGCCTGTCTCCAATTGTTCTCCCCTTTGATGTGCAGGGCAGCCAGTAATCTTTCTAACATTCACAGAAGAATGCACCACTTGGGTTGTTTAAAACCCTTCAATGGCTTCCCATTGCCCCAAGTTCAAACTCTGCAATGTGGCCTATCCATCTCTCTAGCTTCACCTCCTGCTCGATATCCTACAGCACAGTGAAGTTCTTGGTGGTCCTCAAAAGGGCTCCCAAACTTCAAACATTCCCTTCAACCTAAAATCCTCTATTTACATTACTGAACCCTCTAAGAGGTCTTCTCTGACCTTCCCTTCCACCAAGCCAGGTGAACTTTCTGCTATTTGTCCTCATCGCACCCTCAACTTTTCATGTCAGAACCCTTACACCTCACTTTAGTTTCATTGGCCATTTAATTGTCTAGACATCTTGCAGAAGGAGTCCATGTCTCTCTTGCTCACTGTGGTAACTCTGGTGCCTAATACTCATTGCCTGGCACATGGCAAATGCTCAGTAATCACAGATGAATGAATCAGCCCAAAATCTAAATGGACCTCATGTTTAATTAAATATAAATGTAATTTAACAAAAGTATATCCCCAGCATATAATTTTATAGCTTCCTTGGGATACTTAGGATATCTGTTTAATACACTATGCTTTTTTTTTTTTTTTTGAGACAGGGTCTGGCTCTGTCACCCAGGCTGGAGTGCAGTGGCATAATGACAGCTCACTGAAACCTCTGCCTCCCAGGCTCAAGTGATCTTCCTACCTCAGCCTCCCAAGTAGGTGGGACTACAGGTGTATGCCACCACATCAGCTAATTTTTCTGTCGTTTTTGGCAGAGACAGGGTTTTGCCATGTTTCTGAATGGTGCCTAGTCATATTTTAAAGCAGATTTCATTACAATTTATAGAATCTAAATATATTCAGGAGAGTATATAGTGAATGACCTGGAAGTTTCTCCTCATGTCCAATGTCAAAAACACATAAGATTCCTGGTTTTCAAATTTGCCATTTCAAAAATTAACACTTGGGGCAGATTTCAAGGAGAGGCTATAACAGTCCTAACAATATTGAGAACTGATTTTTAGTAATCCTTGGCTTCCTGCAACTACAGTTTGCTTTCAAATATATGATTTGGCACTAAGAAAAATAAAGCAGGTCTCTTGAAATGACATAGAAGAATGACTCTTACATATATTTTTACTCATCAGATGCATATTGAGCGACATGCCAAGAACTGTTCTAAGCCTTTGAGAAGTATCAGTGACCAAAAAGAACAGGTCCCTGCATTTATGGCTCACAAAGCATCCTGCTAGTGAGGGCTGAATGAGTAAGTTGTAGGACTGTGGGTGTACAGTGTAACTCCTCTTCTGAAAAAACATTCATATGTCTGCATACAAACAGAAAAGGTGTGTACTAATGTTTGTATGTATAAGAAAAAAACGATCTGAGGGGGTGGGGTGGTAGGGGGGTGATAACATTAGGAGAAATACCTAATGTAGATGATGGGTTGATGGGTGCAGCAAACCACCATGGCATGTGTATACCTATGTATCAAACCTGCACGTTCTGCACATGTATCCCAGAACTTAAAGTACAATAAAAAAATTAAATAAAAAAAAGATCCAGATGACTGTAGAGTGTTTTATTTCAATAAATGTACCCTGCTTTTAAAGATGCATTTCGTGACTCACAGTTCTCAAAGACTAAATGAATATTAGTTTTTAAACTGACTGATATAAAAACATCTAAGATACTAGTTTTAATCCTTAAAATATATCCCGTATAATTATCAGAGTTAGGAAGTAATGAAAATATGGGTTTTATACAAACTCTGTAGAGAGGGTCGAGGAGTAGATGGGAACTAGACAACTTTTGAGGTTGCTTGTGATCCTAAGAGTTGATGATTTCATAGCTTTGAATATAATCTCAAAGATAATATAATTTACAAATCAATAAAGCTCATTATTATAGGCAAATGTTCACCTCCACTGAAATCAAAGAAATCAAAAAATAAAAACAGTAAATCATAAATGATCATCATGGCATCATTATAATAATAAAAATATCCAACAACTGAGGACTGAACAAATAATATCCATTATAAGGTAATATAGGCCAGGCATGGTGGCTCACGCCTATAATTCCAGCACTTTGGGAGGCCGAGGTGGGTGGATCACAATGTCAGGAGATCGAGACCATCCTGGCTAACACAGTGAAACCCCGTCTCTACTAAAAATACAAAAAATTAGCCTGGTGTGGTGGCCGGCGCCTGTGGTCCCAGCTACTCAGGAGGCTGAGGCAGGAAAATCGCTTGAACCCAGGAGGTGGAGGTTGCAGTGAGCCGAGATCACATCACTGCACTCCAGCCTGGGTAAGAGAGCGAGACTCCCTCTCAAAAAAAAAAAAAAAGTAATATACAAGCAGCCATTGCACATAACATTGAAAGAGAATACTAACTGATACAGGAAAATGATTATGATGTATGGCTACTTCTTTTTTTAAAGCATAACAGCGTAACAGTACATACATATATCACTGTCTGAGTGGTAGGACCAATTTTTTGTTTTCTTTCTTGTGCTTCCTATATGCTTGTTAATTGTTGACAAGAAAGTTATATTAAATTTTGTCCACCTACAAAGGTACTTGAAATGAATAAAGCAAAAAGCAGCACAAATTTCTAACGTGCCATTGCGTTGTAAATTGTCCATTTCCTTTCAGTAGTGGCATGCTGCCATGCTACAGCATACACTAAAAAGATACTGAGTACATAACACCTTAAATGTCCACTAGTAACATAAGGAGTAAAGTCCTTTACATTTTTTAGATATTTTTAGAAAGAAATATTAATGTCAATGATTTTCCCGCACCAAAGTTAATTAAGACACCAGGCAATGTATCAAAAAGACCCTGTTCATCTCTCTACTTGCCTTTAAGTTTTCAACCTTTTCTTCAAATGATTTAAAAGTTGGGGAGTTTCTATGGAGAGAAAAGAAAAACAAATAGTAAATACAAATACTGAAAAAAAAATCCAACTAGTTTGAAAATACCATTGATTATATTCCTCTTCAACATTATTCCTTATCGGCAAAAGAACAGATACAATTATCTGTATCATATATGTGCAGGTACATACAAGTATTTATAATGTAAGATTCTCAATTTCTGATCTCATCTTTTTGAGAGTATGCATTTAATTCCATGAATAGGGCCAGTCTCAGACATAAGTAATATAGATATGGTCAAGTACATGTGTGAGGAGAGGGAACGAAGCCAGGTAAAATAGCAATTCTGTCACTTCCCCAACCAACTTGTCATGGTACAAGAAAATGCCACCATTAGATCTGTTTAATTTTGGTTAAGGTACTATGCTCTAAAATCCCCATTTTGATTCACATCTTCCCTGGCAGAATTTCTACATGAACACACATCACCCAAGTGGGACAAGCTTATGAGGTTCAGTATCAGGGAGCAGCATAATAGACAGGGAAAGCAGGGACCAAAAAGGGGGAGAAGCATAGAAACGGCTTTGCCTACTTCACAATGCTGTCCCAAAGGATGAGGAGAGCACACTGAGCCCACAGGACATTCATTCATCCATGTTACATTCACATCTATCCATATTAATTAAGGAGGATCACAGCGCCTTTGTCTCTCACAAAGGCGCTTTGGACAGAGGGTTTCCAATGCTGTTATCCTATCCAACTGACCTTGAATATCCTTCCTACTACCAAGATGAAAAATGCAAAGAAGGGAAAAGGGGTTTCTTCCTTCCCACGGTGGTGATGGCAGGACAGTTAAGCCAACAGCTCTCAAAGTGTGGGCCCCAGACCAGCTGCTGCTGCAGCTATTGAGAAGTCATGCACAATGCCAATTTTCAGGTCCCACCCCAACTCTACAGGATCAGAGGCTCTAGAGGTGGGGCCCAGCAAGCAGGGGTTTCACAAGCATTCCAAGTGATTTTGATGGACACTGAAGTTTAAGCCAAGCACAGATTGTTAAAAATCCTCTACCTCTCTAGAGAGGTTAGGTGAGGTAATATCACTTGCAAGTGCTAATGAAAGCAGATACTAGAATTAAATCATAGTTGGCTTCAAATGTCACAGTGGGACAAGGGAAGTGAAAATGGGAAGGATGTAGAAAAGGAGAGTGTAACTAAAGCAAATGCAGACGGAGGTGGCGGGACAAGAGAAGGTTTGTTAACAAGCAGTGCTCACTTTGTGAAGTAAACAGATTTCAGACAGGAAACAAAGGTTTTACAAAATAAAATAGAAATAACTTTTAAAAAACAAAATCAAAACATTTAACGGATCTCTTGCACCCATCCCAACGTTAGAGGACGTGTAGCTGAAAACTGATAGAGTGTTAAACACACAGCTTGTTTCAAGGGGAATTCTAGTTCCCTGATTCAGAACAGTTCAAGTTAAACATCTAATTAAAGAAAAATAAAGCATAAGACCAACTACATTTCATAAAAATATACTTTACCTCATAGCAGGCATGCTAATTGAATGCTGAATGGAACGTATACTAAGAGGCAGCATTAAAAAGAGATAGAAATAAGGTTAGTATAGTGGTGCTTCAACATTATTAAAAGCTGACAAAACTTAGCTTCCCAGGAGCTTTATTCTTTTGGCGCCATGAAGAATTACCTACTTTTTGAGGTGGAGGGGATCAAAATTATTCCAACATAATTTACTTTTATTCAGGAGCCAATTAATTCCCAGGAGTTACTAGAGCTAACAATACCACCTTGCATTTTATAGCACTTTGAAAACTAAAGTGCTTTCACTTAGAGCTGTAAGGCATATAGGAGTTAAATGAGTTACCCTAGGTCACAGTAGAATCAAGAATAGAACTTGGGTCTTCTAATTCAATGTTTATCACCTCCCCTCAAAAATGAAGCATGCACACACACACACATACACACATATATACATACAAGCAAGGACGGGAAGGACCCCTAGTAAGTCAAGGGGTAACTGCCCACTCAAGGACAATGCAGTTCACTGACCACTCAGGTTCAAGGTTATCAACTCTTAGCCATCTCCCATAGAGACCACCTCACGAGATGAGAGTGCCTTCATTCCTAGGCTCGTAAAATGACTGTATTCTGCTAATATTGTTACTATGCTTATAGTAGTTTGACCACTGGCATGACTTTGGTAAATAAACTTTCCTTTGGGTAAAGTGTGTAGGTTCAAGGTATTAATTCTCAGTTATATTTAAATATTTTGTGTGCTTATGATTTCCTTTTCTTAAAGACTCATTTGTTACAAATGATAATATGTCTTCAATGTAGCTCCTCAAATCTAACTTTGCATTAATATCTGATAACATGGAGAATGATTGTGATATATGGATATATGTCAAATATGCTGGGAATCAGTGTAATCAAGATTATCAATGAAATATTTAAGCATCTCTGTACTCAATGTCTTACATAACAGGAAAAGATACATGTAACTCAGCATTCTCTCTATCCTACAATGGTGGTCAATACCTACGGTATAAGACTATAATAATCTATTCTGGGAGGAATTTGATAAATTTCCTACCTGAATCTATCAAAGACTGTTGGTCCCAGTCCCTAAATTTACAACACCAGAACTCTAAGTACCACCTGTTCTTCCTCAGACCCTTCTGCTGAAGCTGCCTGGAATAGTCACATTGCCACAAACCACCTTCTACCATAACTGATATGATAAGTGGATCAGTGAAGCACCACCCACCACCGCTAACCTCCCAGTGGCCTATAAACTGTTTGGAATGTATGAAAAATGAAGGAGTGAAGACAATTAAGACTTTTATCCTAGCATATTGTAATTAGGACACTAAGTTTCTGGACACTTAGATGTTGAAGATCTGGCGGGACCAGGTGAAAGCTGACAGAACGCAGAGGAAACCAGTTCCCAAAGAAAGAATCGAATACAAGCACAGAGAGAGGTAGAGCAAATGAGGTCAGGAGAGGTGATCATGCAGGGAATCCGGCAGGACAGGAGAGGAACAGGTTTCTTGGTTTCTATAATAGAAGCTATTTCAATTTCCCAGTTGATGGAGCTGGTTTGGGTGGAGCCTGGCCTTGCTTCCTTTTCTCTTCTTGAATTACAAAAAAAAACTTTGTATTTGTGTAACACATTCTTCTTTTTAGGTAAGCTAAAAGTTACACAGCTTTCTGTTCCTAATCAAAACTCTTCATTAGGACATTCATCTTGGCAGAAATCGCTGAAAAAGAAGGTAAGTAATGGCCAAATATGTGATAAATTCCTTGTCCAGGGGACCCACACATTGAATTTAATAGTATCAATAAAATGAGGAAACAGGTGGATAAATGTACATTTCAGAATTTCACAGCTAATTCTAGTCACTGTCCCTAAGAACCCATGTAAAATATCACTTCCTCCAGCAGTGGATCGGTGGGGCTTTATACCATTTTACCCAGCACATACCTACTAACTATGTTTCAGTGGTAATATATAAGGAAAGGCAAGGAAGTGGTTAGACTAAGTGTTTATTTTGTGAAAAAAATCACTAAAGTGAATTTGGTATTGAGCACTTTTCTGTATGCATTATATCACCTTGAAGATAAATATACAGAATAAAATCAGTTAATAGAGTCAAAGACAAGGTCTCTCTGCTTTTACAGTAGCTATTTTAGTAGGAAGAAAAGGAGCACACATCAACTTCAATTCCATCTGGTTGCTGGATCCTCCCCATAACCCACAGTTAGATGAAATTCAATTTTGTTAATAACTAGTTGTAATGTAACTATAGGGTGGCTGTTCTTTCATTTCTGGCTTCTCTATGGCAAGTTACACAAAGCTTCAACTTGCTCATCATTTTCAGTTTCATTCAAGCTTAAATGTAATATGGAAACCTTCAAAAGCAAAATGTCCTGTTGCTGCAGGACCAGAATCATCTCTAATAGATAGGTTGTAAGAATCAGTTACCATCTATAAGGCACATTTTATTAAAAATGTTCTGTCTTATTTGTAACCCTCAAATACATTAATCTGTAATCAAACTAGGAATGCAAACCTGGGCTCCTCAAAACACTGAAAAAAAAATCAGGATAATCTGATTCTCAGTAAGTACTTTTCAATCTCATACTGCATTTACTCTATTTGAAAAGTCATTGTTTAAAAAACAGCTGAATTGATTTTTTTTTTTAATTCCTTGTTTCTAACAGTTATCAGATCCTTTCATCCTTAATACTAATAACAGGGGAGGGGGCAGAGGGAGGAGAAGGAAGGAAGTCACAGCACAGGAAGGAGGAGAAGGAAGACTTAATGGCTAACACGTTGGAATGCTTACTATGTACCACGTATGCTTTTCACAGCTATCGATGTAATATTATTCCACTTTGCCCTCACACAATCTCTTGATGTTGTGGTCACAGCGGCTATTGTTCAAAGTGCTGGACAGTGCCCAGAGGGGCATTGTCTTAAACCACCATTACTCTGGGAAGGCCCAGGAGGACAGTGCAGGCTCCGGGACTAGGCGTGCTTGGTTCCAGTCCTGGTGATCAGCCACTTACACCTGCTGGGCAACCTTGGGGAAGTTCTTAATCTCTCTATGGCTCAGTTTCCTCATCTAAAATATCAAAACAACAATAGCACCTACTTCTGAGGTACTATTGTCTTACTGGGCTTATAAATGTTAATTGTTATTATAACACGTGACTTTAATTGAAACACGAATTAACATCTACTGTATATTATACTTTCACATATGCATAGAAAATATGCAAACAGGAGGGGAAATATAAGCATATCACCTTCAAGCTTTCAAATTTCAGCATTATTTTGGTTTTCAGCTCCACCCCTATAGTCTACAGCAATGCCTGGCACATAGTTAGCACTCAATAAACACTTCTGAGTGAAAGAATGAATGAATAAATGAATAAACAATTTTGATAACTAAAATTGGGAATATGAGCATGAAACACAGAAAAGTTCATTAAAGTGTTTCAAATTCTAATCAAAAGACATTCTTTTTCTGACACAAGGAAAGAGATCATTTCTCTTCCCATTAAGTGGTGGAAATTTTCAGCAAAAGGGAATTGTTTAGCAAGACTTTAATGAGCCCAAAACAAATAAATATCTACAGGGGTACATGAAGAAACACACATTTAAAAAGGAGAAATTTTCTTTGGAAATAAAGGCAAAATTAATTAGCACTTCCTCTTAAATATACCAAAAATATTAGACAAATGTGTCTACTGAATATTACAGTATAGTTTTAATAACACCAAAATTTTATGTTTAACCCTGGCACTGACTGAAATGAGAAGGTTCTTTTAAAGCTTCCCTCAAAATGCTAATGGCATGAGTCAATACTTTCATATAGGCATAGAAAATATGCAAATGGGAGGGGAAATATAATCATACCACCTAAGGGAAAAGCAGGCTGCCCGAGAGGGCCTCCCAGGACAGCACTCATGACCACATCCTCCTTGGCCTTACTACCACCACCGCCCCTCATTCTCAGGACATCAAAAGCAGCTCGCTCTCTCTGTTTCCTTATATATCTGCCTCCCCCCAACCAAGGCATAAGGCAAATATCTAAATCCCAAGTGCTGATTTATCAACTATGTAAAATAAAAACTGTTGCTGAGTCTAATACATTCAGGTTGGCAAAACTGGTGCATTTTCTCCTTCTATATCCATAATTACATTAGGGAGTAAAATCACTGGCATAAGTTTGCCAGGTAAAATGGACCTAAAACAAACAGTGAGTGGGAATAAGGATTAATCAACTATTTCATAGCACTTAGCAAAAGGAGCCTACTGCATCCATCTCCGTGGGAGAAAAGGACTTACTGCTGGGATTGTAACACTCAAAATCTACAGCCTAAGCTCTCTTTCCTTGGATAGTTCTTGAGGGAATGTGGCCAATATTTGCCTCTGTGACTCACATAATCTAAAAGATGTAGGTTTTTTTTATGTATGTGAACACATTAAATCAGAACACAATCACTTCTTGGCCTTGGAATTATTTTTTTAAATGCCTTTACCTAGCCTTTGATTTGTAAGAATTACAAAGTTTAACTGTCAAAAGATAATCTCATTTCTCTCATTTTAATCAAAAGCCTTACTTTAACCCCCACATGCTGATGGGCAATTAAATATTCATAAAAACTTAATATTTATTAAAAACAAGACTGAAAATGGTACAGCATAATCTCAATATTTTTAAAATAAAATGGACAAAGTGACTGTAAAATGAGCTAGAAAAGAGTTGCAAAACATAATTTGTTGCTGATGAATTAATAAGACAGCACACACTGAGCCATATCTAGGTATGGCTTTAAGGTATAGAAAGGTATTCTTTAAAGGTATAGAAAAGTCTAGTGGTATGTACTGAAGAAACATCGTCCTCAATAGCCCTTACTTTTATATCTTATATTGATGTTTGCATCACACCTAACATTTTATAACCAGTACTGATGAGGCTCTTCCATTCTTAACTTATCCCAAGTCCCCACTTTTCCCCTACTCCACTCTAAGATTTTTAAGCTTGATTCTAATAAAAGCCATGTCTTCTTTACCGTTATGCCCATGGGACCTGTCCACAGTAGACTCTCTAATGTCAGCAGAATGGGTGATGTATTCAGTTGCTTAGGGCACTTTTTAACTGAATGCCAACGATACACAATCACCTATCATTGGTTACTTGATTTTTTTAGCATAATTTTAGCTTTAAATAGTTCAACATTTAGAGTTTATATATCCCTATAATCTACTCTGACTTCCAGGGCTAAGTGTCACCAAGACAGAAGCTATAAGTACCTGTTTGCTTACTTAAAAAGGCAAGTAGCTAGACTACCATGAGTGACTGCTTAAGAAAATAATCTGCATCAATAGGAACAGAGATGAAGACTACTATATTATCCTTCCTGCTTACACTCTAAAGACTTTCCTCCACCTTAGATTCCTCCAACAACTGATTAGATAATCATAGAGTCTGCCTGGGAAAGACAGAGGTTTGCTCAACATCACAAAGTCTCTTTCTATAAGGCATGGTTTGAGCTAACATCTTTTTACTGTGCTTTTTTTAGCTTAATATACCTTTTCCTTTTTCAAACCATGAAGTTGCCTTGTGTACATAGAGAATATAACAAGTGTAAAGAAATAATAAAATTGTAAAAACTATAAGCTAGTAAAACAAGTATTAAAAAGTACAGAGTAATGGTAGATTTTACCTTATGTATATTTTACCACAATTAAAAAAAAAAAAAAAAAAGTAGAGTAACCAATAGAAGATGGAAGACTAACATCAGGAGACAGTACATATGCAGTCTATTACAATTGCATAATGAAACCCAGGTGAAGAATTCCAACATCCTTACAAAAGTACCAAAGAAACAAAAGCATCAAAAACAAACAAAGTCAGACATTAAAAGGGAGGGATTTTGCATGCCACGGTAAAGCTGCTTCTTTTTACCAAAGAAAAAAGTAGAAAAGAAATGTCAAAATCATTTCCATATCCGTTGAACCACAGTGTCAAATACTTCTTTTAATTTATCAATTACCCATGGTATACAAGAAACCCTCCCTTGAAATTAGGAATGCAGTAGAGAAAAAGATACTCCAAATGCAAGAAAATTATGTACTGGACAAAGACGATCATCCAACACAGTATAGTAATCTAATCTCAGCACACTTTTCTTATACAACTGCTAGACTGCAGTGACGGTTCAAACTCTCCTTACCTAAAGGAATGTGAAAAGGCTTGCAATCTGTAAGAAGCCAGAGTAAGCATTAAAAAAGAAAGAAGTTCTGATAAATCTAAAACAATTAAATAACCTAAGTTTTAAAATGTATAATGTTTTCCCTGGGCTCTAAACTGCTACACAATTCAGTCAGCATAGAGAAAATGAACACCTAATAGATATATACATAATTGTCAAGAGAATTCAAGAAAGCTATATTTATTACATTATGCTTAGACGACGACAGTCCAAATATAATGAGCGAGGAATTTAGTTATTTTATATAAAATATAACACATAAATTGACCAAACCTATTCAACCAAGAAATTCTGGTTGTAAGATCCACTTTCCCCACAAATGCAAAACACAAAGCCATGCAATCTGAGCATTTTTTTAAAAACACAAATCTTGCATGCCAACAGAAGCACAGCTGACTTAAACCACATTTGTCATTTTCATCACTATCCTAATCCACATGAGTGAAGGGGGGACACAAAAGCACTGTGAAGTGGTTTTATCAAAATGGCAAGGAAAACTCTGCAGACTAATCTAAAGTACAAATGCAAAAAAAAAAAAAAGCAACAACTCAAAATCAAGATTTTGGCCTAAGCATGAACGTAGTTACAGCTTACTGGTTAGAATAAATCAGTGCATAAATGAGCATGTTGTAATCACACCATGGTATAAAATGTCACATACAGAACGTGAAGCCAAGTTTGAATCGAAGCGTGCACTTCAATGCTCCTGTTGTCATCCCTAGCAACACACCAGGCTCTGCCCACAATCACAAATTTGCAACCAAAGACATACTTACCCTGCATGATCATGAAGAACTAAAAAGACACAGAAGTTCACAACCAGAACTTTTCAACAACCTTAAATGATCAGATGATCATTTGATGTCAGAATGCTAGGCCTAGAAGACCTTAGGTGAGCCTTCCAGGTACGGGTTTGAAGGAGTGCCCTCCCTCACTCTAACAGGAGTAGCTAGCATCAACTACAGCCAAGGTCAGGAAACAGATGCAACAACAATAACATTTTAATTTGCGTCAGCTACTTAATGAGCAAGGAAAAACAAGGACATACTTTACGTCTTCCAGCTTTTTGGTGATGACTGAGCCAACAGACGAAAAAGCAGCTGAGGCCTTCTGTCCAGCCTGGGACAAGGTTTCAGATGTCTTCTTGTAACTATATTAAATTATAAACACACAGAGCAAAGAAGGGTCAGCTGATCTTTTCTAGCATCAATTGTTTCAAGTGCAGTGGTCACCACCTGCTGGAGAACTCTCAAAAAGAGAAAACATTTTTCAGAACTTCTAAAATCCTTCATAACCAGCAGGGCGGCATCACCGCATCTTCGTATGTTCAACCCTAAGCTCAGGCACAATCTTCTGCAGTGCCCTAGTCCAGCCAGAAAGACAGAGGCCTATAAAGGCAGGGCCAAAGAAGTCAAGGTAAGGGCTAAAAATAATCATAAAACAAAGATGAAAATAAGCAAGGGCCTGAAAGAACTCACACCTCTTGTTCTTTTCCAAAATCTAAACAAATTTTGGATTATTCCACATAATCTAAACAAAACAAAAATGAAATCAAATTCCTCAGATGCCTTTGTCAACTTGATTTCCTAAAAAAGGGCCGGAAGCAATTAGTAGTTGGCATAAGTAGGACCCATTTGTATTTTATTATCCAAATACATTTTATGGGCATACTTTTTAAAAAATTTTGCATGTCTTTAGAGCTGCCAAATAAGGACTTAGTGGACTTTCAACAAAGTATGTAAAATATGCAATGCTTCAAATTATTCTAGTTTGGTATCTGCTATCACACAAAGGCAAAATTTGCCACCTCCTTCCCAGCTACCTGGAGATTAGAGAAGGGAAAAGTGAAAACAAAAAAATGACGACAACAACAACAAAAAACAAATAAAATAATATTATACCTACCAAAACAATTCCCACATTATGGGAAAGAATGCTCAGGCATTTTTACTTACCCTGTCAAGATCAAATACCAATAAAAAACATGGTTTATGGTAATAACTGTCAAAAAAAAAGTTTCCTGTATGTTTTCCCACTGCCAACTTAGATGGGTAGAAAATGGACCAAAAGATTGGGGATTCAAGTACTGTCATGTTAAATACAGTTGGCCTCACTTCTGAGAGTTAAACTGTAAAACAACTTCTACGCTCACCAGCTCTGCAGATGGCTCTCAATACAGAAGACAGAGCAGTTCGGATTCTGCTGCTAGAAGCTTGCTCCTCCTTGTGCCAGAAAACAAAACTGCATTATGATAATGCTATATCATCGTATGTGTGGTCAAAAAGACAAAAAGCTTAAGGGATTGACCTCTGCCAAGAGCATATATCTGAGACTATGACCTGAGAATCTTACGATACATACAGAGCAAGGTAAAAAAAAATAAATTAATAATAATAATAAAGACTGGCTCCCGACCTGAGTTTGAATCCCCACTCCACACTTTGAGAGGTTTGTGACCTAAAAACTTAATTTGTCTGAGCCTGTTTCCTTATCCAGGGTTATCTCGCCACCCATTCTTACTGGGTTATTCTGAGGACTAAAGGACACAATGTACATATTTGTGACAAGTCAATACATAACACTTATGGGACCTGAATTTTATTTCTCCAACTGGCTAGCTTTCTTTCTGTTCCTTAGAATAAATGGTCTGGAAAAATCTAAGTTACAAAAAAGGCAGGTACACTTGAAAATCAGAAAAAAAAAGTGTGCCGTGTCGTCCAAAGAAAAGCTGCTGAAGCATCCTCATCCTCTTTTTCTTCCCCTCCCCAGACAAAAGGCACGACAGTGTCCTTTACATTCCCAAGGACAGTGTATGATCAAGGGAACATACGCAGATGTTGCTGTCACATCTTGCCACCCTTTGGCAATGTTCTGTTTTAGTTCCTGTAGAGAATTGATTCCAAGTTTCCGCTTGATCTCTGCTAGATGCTTCTCTTTTGCTGCTAACACTTGAGACAGAGTCTGGATTTCTTCTTCTACCTATGAGGAAGGGGTTAGGGTAGGAATATAGCAAAAGTCGTTCAGTAAGTTAAGATTATTAGCACAGAACTATATCGAAAATTCCAGTCATTAAACATTTTTTGAACCATTTATCTTTCTCTCTAAAAACAATGTATAATGTTGTTGAGTAAACTGGTTACTTGCTGATCTCTCCTGTAGAGCTTCTCTCTCCTCCTCCATGGGAGCTCTTTATAATCCCATCTTAAGTTGTTTTGGGCCTTCTCCTCTCTCCCTATACTTCCTTACTCAGCTATCTCATGTAGGTTTAGGACTCAAATTTCTACACACGTAATACTTTATAAAGTACTCTAACATCCACTCTCCCGACCTGTGGGTCTGCCTTTCCAGCCTAGACATTTCTATTTGAATGCCTACAAAACTTGTATTTGTATACTAAATCAAAATAATCTCCATCCCCTACCAAAACACACACAACCAAGCCAAACCCAAATCCAACCTCCTTGCATATTTGATGAGTATATATACTGGATACATATACTCAGTCTCCGTGTCTGGCAAAGTCATGGCCATAATAAACCAAACTGCCTCCTCTTGAGAGCCCTGCGGTGGTCCATGTGAACCCCTTAATGCTGACTGCCCAGACTTGGCTAGGTGGTTAGAGGTGGGCCCTGAGCCACTGAGAGCCACCCATCAAGAGCCAGTGGATGAGCCCGGTGTGAAAAGAGGTGCTCAACTATTCAATCGCTCTCACTCAGGAATCTAGTTTGAGAAGTAAGATGACATTATGAGTAGAAGCTGAAAAGACTTGAAGAAGCCTTGAGGTAATAGGTAGGCCACAGTGAGATTATGAAAGGTATGGAAAGCTTAAACATGACTGAGGAAGCTAAAACTGTAAGCAGGAGCTATGAAGAAAAGGAAAAAGCAGACAGAATAGAACAAAAGGCTAATCCAGGAAAACAGAGAAAAGGGTGGACCCTATTTCAGAAACAGGGAAAAGGGCAGACAGTCTATTTCAGAGAAAAAGAGACACCATGTGGAAGAGACTTTAGGTCCCAGGAAATTGAAAAACCAGGCCCCTAAAGTATATCCATTAACATTCAAGACCCTCAGAGAAATGCGTCTCCTGGCTTGTTGCAAAGCCATACTCTCAGCCCTGACCTGCATGGTATTTCTGTGATTTCAAAGACAACATGCCCCTTTAAAAATAACATAGAGTCAGTCAAATCTTTTCACAGATGATTAAATCTTTAGAGAACACGAAACAAAGAAAATTAGTGTAACGGAGAAAAGGATAAATCAAATGTGATGCAGCTGCCAAGAAAGGAAAAAAAAAAAAAAAGAAGAAGAAGAAGAAGAACCTACAACATCACTCTCAGACAAGATTAACTGGAACGGAGGTCCCTCAGAACAAATAAATAATCCCCTGTGCTTGTCAGAGTCACAAGTACTGGACCCAGTTTTGTAAGTCACATTTTAAGATATACATTGACAAAGTGGAATATGAGAAGAAAAGGACAAAAAAAGAGGAAAGAATAAGGTTCAAAATTAAGTAAATTAAATGATTTGCCCAAAGTCATCAAACAAATAATGTAGGAACCAGAATTTCTATCTAGGTTTTCTGAATGCACGTCTCAGTTTACTGGCTGAATTATCATGTACACTCTCTTAAGCTTCCCAATTCCTCTGTCTCTACTTCAAACTCCAAATCTTCAGACACTTCTAAGAAGAGACTTAAATGGTAAGTTTCCTACCCCTTAGCCTTCTCTGAGGTACTCACTTCCTCTAATGAAAGCTGCAAAGACAAACCACTGTAAATCTTTCTGAACAATGCACAACACAGTATATTCCCCACCTTTGTTGGGTAGCTTGTGCTGCTAACACACCTAGCCCAGCACGTCACAGCTGCGATTTCTTAATTCAACATATACATGTAAAATAGAGTGACCTTAAAAGCATAAAGAGCGTGATTAAGAATCTCTGATGTGTCTATCACTATATGCAAAGATCAACTCAAAATGGACTAAGGACCCAAAACCATAGAACTACTAGAAGAAAACAAAGAAGAAACACTTCAGGACATTGGTCTAAACAAAGATTTTACAGCTAAGACCTCAGAAACACAGGCAACAAAAACAAAAATAGACAAATGGGACTAAGTTAAAGGAAATCATCAACAGAGTGAAGAGATAACCTGTAGAATGGGAGAAAATTTTTGCAAACTATTCATCTGACAAGGGACTAATATCCAAAATATATAAGGAACTCAATTCAACAGCAAAACAAACAAGCAATTCCATTTAAAAAGTGGGCAAAGGATCTAAATAGACATTTCTCAGAAGAGACATATAAATGGCCAACGAATATATTAAAAATATCACTAATCATCAGGGAAATGCCAATCAAAATCAAAATGAGATATCAACTCACACCTATTATTATGCCTGTTATCAAAAAACCAAAAAATAACAGATGCTGGCAAGGATCCAGAGAAAAGGAAACTCTTATACACTGTTGGTGGGAATATAAATTAGTACAGCCACTATGAAAAACAGTATGGAGGTTTCTCAGAAAAACTAAAAATAGAAATACCATATAATCCAGCAATCCCACTACTGGGTATTTTATCCAAAGGAAAGGAAATCAGTATATCAAGGGGATACCTTCACCCCCATGTTTATTGCAGCACTATTTACAATACCCAAGTGTCCATCAACAGGTGAATGGATAAAGAAAATGTGGTATACACAATGGAATACACTTCTGCCATAAAAAAGAATGAAATCCTGTCATTTGAAGCAACATGGATGAGCCTAGAGAATAATACGTTAAGCAGAATAAAGTAGGCACAGAAAGATAAATACTGCATGTTCTTACTCACATGTGGAAGCCAAGAAAAAAATTTGAACCCATCTAAATAGAGAGTAACATTGTGAGTGTTAGAGGTTGGGAAAGGGAGAATGCCGAGAGGTTGTGCTTCAAACGACGCTATTGTGAAAGTAAAAGACAACCAACAGAATGGGGAAAATATTGGCAAATTACATATCTAATAACAGTCTAGTATCCACAACATATAAAGAAACTTACAACTCAATAAAAAGACAACCCAATTAGAAAACGGGCAAAGGACTTAAATAGACATTTCTCCCAAGACATACAAATGACCAATAAGCACATGAAAAGATGCTTAACACCATTCATTAGTAATTTGAGAAATGCAACTCAAAACCACAAGGAGATACCACTTCATACCCATTAGGATGACTATATTTAAAAAAAAAAAAAAAAACAGACATTAATAAATGTTGGCAAGGATGTGGAGAAACTGGAACCCTCAGACACAGCTGGTGAGAATATAAAATGAAGTTTGGCAGCAACGCAGTTTAAGAGTTCCTCAAAAAGTTAAACATAGAGCTACCATATGACCCAGCAACTCCACTCCTAGGTATACATAACCAAGAGAATTGAAAACACATCCAGCCTGGGTGCAATGGCTCACAGCTGTAATCCCAGCACTTTGGGAGGCCAAGGTGGACAGATCACTTGAGGTCAGGGGTTTTAGACCAGCCTGGCTAACATGGTGAAACCCCATACTACTAAAACACAAAAATTAGCCAGGCATGGTGGTGGTGCACCTACAATCCCAGCTACTCAGGAGGCTGATGCAGGAGAATCGCTTGAACCCGTGAGGCAGAGGTTGCAGTGAGCTGAGATCACGCTACTACACTCCAGCCTGGGCAACAGAGCAAGACTCTGTCTCAAAAAACAAACAAACAACAATAAAAAAAAAAAATTACATCCATACAAAAAGCTGTACACAATTGCTTACAGCAGCATTATTCATAACAGTCCTAAAGTTCAGCCACTGTGGAATGCAATTTGGATACTTCTCAAATAACTTAATACAGAGCTACCATTCCCATTGGGAATGGGATCCCTGGCAGCAATCCCATTACTGGGTATAGAAATTGTTCGACCAAAAAGACACCTGCACTCATATGTTTATTGCATCACTATTCACAATAGCAAAGACATGAAATCAACCCAGGTGCCCATTGTCCAATGTAGTACATATACATCATGGAATACTGTGCAGCCCTTTCTAAAAAGTACAAAATCATGTCCTTTGCTGCAACACGGATACAGCTAGAGGCCATCTTCCTAATCAGATTAACACAGAAACGGAAAACCAAATACCACATGTTCTGACTTATAAGTGGGAGCTAAATATTGGGTACACACGGACACAAAGATGTGAACACTAAACACTGGGGATTCCAGAGGTGGAGAGGGAGAGTTGGGGGAAAGAGTTGAAAAACTATGTTCACTACTTGGGCAACAGGATCATTAGAAGCCCAAACCTCAACATCATGAGGCATTAACATGTAACAAACCCACACATGTACCCCTTGAATCTAAAATTTTTTAATAAAAAATTTAAGTTTAAAAATGTTTTAAAGGGGACTATAAAGAAAATGAAAAGGAAAATCCACAGAATGGGAGAAAATATTTACAAATCATACAGCTGGTAACTTCGTTTGTTAAATAAAGACTATGTTTCCTCTTCCATCAATCATGATAATAACACCTGCCCCATAAGACTGTTGTAATAATTAATGAAATAATGCATGTAAAGAGCTCAGCTTAACACCTCCCACACAGCCCATGTGGGATAGCATTAGGTGCTATCACTATTATTTTTATTTTGTTGATAATAAAACAATATTGAGAACTGCCAAGGATTTGAAAAAAAAAAATGCTCTTTCAAAACATTGTAAGAAATATTCTGCATAGCATTTTGGCCATGTTGCTATATACTCTTAAAAACCATTAGACCCAGGCATAATGCTACTTCCAGAACTTTATCCTAAAGCACTAATTAAAGAAGTGCATAAAGGCTTACATGAAGGTATTTACATCAAACTATTATTCATAATAGCAAAAAATGGAAACAATCCAAATGTTTATAAATAATATAAATTAAAAATGAGCTTGCGGAAATTCAAAATGGACTATGAAGC